TGACTAGGAACGTTTATAAATTTCGAACATTACAAACCATTTAACTTCATTTGATTCACATCGGATATTAGTACATTTACGAAAACATTACCAAACGTCTTTGGTGGAAACTCGACCTGTAATCAGCGTGTGATCAGCAGAACTACAGGTATAATTAGCTCCTTGTTAAGTGAATTATTCTTACGTCAACTCGAAATTAACTCGCTCATAGTCAACCCTTGAAAAGATATCAAGGAAGTTCCAGAATTAGAAAAAATACTTTATATTGCTTGTAAGTTTGCGAAACTTTTGTATATAAATCATTGTTTGTAATAACTATTTGTAATAACTGTTATTGTAAATTGTATTGTTGTTTGTATATTAAAACATATTTGTATTAAAAAAGAAAACTGTGTGTATCAATCCTGTTGGCAAATATCATACATTGGCATATATTTAACTACTAAATTTAAATTATAATTTAGCTCGGTTTCAGACCAATTGAAATTGTAATACGTAACATATAGTAAAACTGGGACGTTTTGAAAAAACCATACCTGATCTTGTTTATCTTTTCAGTTGTGACCAAATAGCAATCCGCGAGTCGCGGAATCGAAACCAATTACTTAACATGCTCTCTTTCAGCCATCGGGACGTTATAACATTACAGTATAACTATTCGTTGATAATGAGTATCCCACGAGATGACTAACTGCTTACCCATTAGTCTATTACTTCAAAATTAGGGACAGCTAGAGCAGATAGCCTTTATGTAACTCTGAGCGAAATTTAAAATTCAACAAGACAAACAAACAAATCATGTGGTATACATATCCTCTTTCAGAAACAAAGACATATTTTCTATCGATCGCTACATTTCCGTTTGTCCTTTCCATTCTCCTGTTTGTGACCGAAAGTCTAAGATCCTTGAAAATTAAAGAATGATATACTGAGCCTTTTGTACCTGTGCAGTCGTTTTTTAATGTTTTTAGAAAGAATAATATTTTGTAATACATTTTAAACTTCCTCTCTTAAAATTGGATAAACCGACATCTTCTCAAATTTCGTTGTCTGTTCGAAAAAGTTTAATAGTGAGTTACTTAAATGTTAAAATGTTTCATATCATTTTCTAAAAATATGACAAAGCTACGTCCTGAAACTTCTTAACTCGTGTACTGTAGATGAACATAATGAAAACTACAGAATTCTGCATAAATTAAAACAGCGAATATTTTATTGCTTATTGCACCATATAATTCGTTTTTGATATTTTTAATTAGGCTAAATATCGATTTTGAGTCTTAGAGAGATAAGGGTTTGAGTTCAGAAAATAAATACCTGATTAATAATTAATAAAAAAAAAAGATTTACTGTAAACAAATGTTGTAACTTTTAAGATATTTCAAGAGCTGAGAAGAAGTAAATGTTCAAGTACAGGTTTTATTTGAAAGCTTTTTGTTTTTGTTTGAAATTAAGCACAAAGCTACACAATGGGCTATCTGTGCTTTGCCCATCACGTGTATCGAAACTCGGTTTCTAGCGTTGTTAGTCCGCAGATATACCGCTGTGCCACTGGGGGCTTATTTGAAAGAAAAATAGCCAAAAACGTTAACGAACACCAATAAGAACTGAAAATATAGGATCCTATGTCTAAACATAATGAGCTGCGGCGTGTATAGAATTGCAAAAGTTATAGGTTATAGAA